GTAACGGTTGCAGGGCGTCCACCTCCACTCATGACTGACCTGTGACCGTGTCAGTGGGTTCAATTGAGTGGAGTGTGTTTTGTTCTGTGTATGTTTCAGACGGTGCCTGAACTGGTGCAGATCATGAGGAGCCTGACTGTCTCAGGTTATTCTCCAGAACATGACGTGGCAGGAGTCAGCGATCCTTTCCTTCAGGTCGGAACAGTTTCTCTCTTTCCTTTATTTACATTTGCCTGCTGCTCTGTGTACCTGTCGACTGCTGTATGTCAAATATAAGTTCATTTTAAAGACAAATTCTCCAGGTTAGCAGAAATTAGCAGGAAGTTAATAAAAACTAAAATGTTCATTTAGACTCACAGACATCTGTTTCCTGTCGCAGGTCCGTATCTTGAGGTTGCTGAGGATCCTGGGACGTCATTGTGAAACAGCCAGTGATGCAATGAACGACCTCCTCGCCCAGGTGTCACATGTCACACCACAAACGTGTCATTGTTGTGTGTCCTTAAGGCTGTGTGTCAGGTCAAAGGCTTTTCCTGAACAAACACAGCGTTTATAATAAGGTATTCATCGTGACTTCCTGTACAGGTGGCGACCAACACTGACAGCACTAAAACCGTAGGAAACGCGGTTCTGTACGAGACTGTTCTCACCGTGCTGGACATCAAGTCAGAGAGCGGCCTCAGGGTAAGACAACAGATGTTGAAGGATTCACAGTGAAAGTGTGGTTTGGTCTGACGGTGACACGCCTGGTTTCACCTGTGCTACAGGTCCTGGCTGTGAACATCCTGGGACGGTTTCTCCTCAACAACGACAGAAACATTCGGTCAGTGTCGTCTGATCTCATTCCTCTCCTCCCACATTCCCCCTCCCCTTCCTCATTCCTCCTCCCTTCTCGTGTATCACTTTCTCTGCTAATTCACCTTTTGTTCTTGCACAAGGTCAAAGTGAATATGGAACTTTTGCAGAGAGAAGAGAAGAGAAAAAAAAACCTCCCAACCCAGTGTTATCAGTGTCGTTCCTGAGGCCACAGCAGAAGATTAACTGTCTGTTTTTAGACAGATAAATAATTCATGGAGCTTTGCGGGAAAAGTCAAGTGCAGCGATGACTCTCTGCTGGAGGCTGATGAAGAGGAGGGAGCTGGAGCCTGGACAGATTTACATCCAGGTGTTGTGTGTTTGTGCAGGTACATCGCCATGACGTCTCTTCAGAAGATTGTCAACACGGACCACAACGCTGTGCAGCGTCACAGAGGAACCATAGTGGACTGCCTGAAGGACCACGACGCCTCTGTCAAACG